GGAGGTGTTTGCCCTGCCATCTTTCATACATGTCTTGTGAGGAGAGTTCACGTACTTGCATTACAATTACAGAAGTCATCACCACAGATACACCCATGGGACTTTTTTTTTCTGTTGAAATCTTTGCAGGGTTTGAATGGCACACAGCAAATGAGGAATGCCCAGTGCTGAAGATAAAAGGCAGTGTTAAAAAGCCATGATTGTTACTGTTCTGCCTGAGCTTGGAATGAGACTGTGGTCCCATGGAAAAATTATATATGTAATAATCAAAATTCATGGAGGTGTTTGCCCTGCCATCTTTCATACATTTTAACAGTATGTTAAAAGTACATATTAACACGAAGGGCAAACCAGTGTTGTTAGGCAGCCTAAGTTCTGCAGTTTTTTAGCTCTTAACTGTTTGATTTAGTAGCCTTACTGGCAGGCACGATAGATGTAGATTCAGTTATAATTTGTCAGTATGATAATACAGTTGAATTCACACAGTTCGCAGGGACTAAGCATTTTGATCTCTGCCAAAGAATCAGCAAAGAAACAAATTGTTTTACAAAATCTTACATTGTTATCAATAGATACAATATATTAGAACTAACATTCAAGTTACCTGTGTGGTAACTGAAAACTATCATGTGTTAAAATCACACAACTATGCATTTGGTCTTTTTAAAGTTACTCATAAAGACATTTTTGAAACTGAGATCTATGAAATAAGAAAATAAAATATAAAGGGGAAGTAAAGAATTTTACTTTTCCTAACCATAGAGTGTAAGAATTGATGTTTTTATTATCAATTAATGGAAAGTTAAGGCTTTTTAATTTGCTCTTGTCCTTCGTTTCCAAAAGGCCCAACAATGTAGACTTGATGCACTTACATAATCTAACCATGTGATTGGTGGTTTTTTGCTTGAAAAAAAATCGTTATGTTTTCTTAAAATTTAGAACCTTTCATCACTTTCACTGTGATAATCGTCTTCTTAGTTTCTTTTGATGACAGTTAAGGCCGTCTCTAGTATAGCAACATGAACCTTGCATCTTGGGGTTAAACATGAAGCTTTTAACAGGATACTTAAGACTATTAGAACCTTATAACGGTTTGAATAATATAGCAACAGGGTTATTTTAGCCTGAGGAGAAGCTCAAAGATTTGTCTTGGTTTGTAGTTCTTTGTGTGGCAGGAGAAAGGAGTAATGAAGGAAGAAATGGTCAAAGCACTAATGGGATTAGAAAACCCTGTTTTATTACTTCTTTCTAGCAAATGTCTGACTATTGTTCTCTCCAAATAGAGATAGCCCGCTCAAAAGTGGGGTTGGTAAATCTCCAGGCAGGAAGGCCTGCTGACTAAATAGCAGAGAGGAGTATAGGAGGGAATAAAAGGTGTTACTCTTTGTGCTAAGACCTCCTTGGAAAAAGAAGGAATAAATTGGCTTTTAATATGTGTAATATTCTGCTTTCCTCCAATAATAGCCTATTTAATTAGAAAAGAGTTTTTGTGCCAGCATGCTGTATTTTTTTTATATTTTATGCTATTGTAAATTGATTTAGGTGATGCTGTTTCATATTTGGGCTGTAGATAAGGATGACTGTGAATATAATTAATATGATATTATCACTATCACTTCACATATAGTTAAACTCAAAAATCTTTTTCTTTTAAGTCCAGTAGGATATTACGTACTCACTGTCCTATTATTTTTCTAGGAAACAATGCCTCCACCATCACACACTGCATTTTCTGGCCATCATTTACCATTTGTGGGTTTCACATATACAAGTAGCTGGTAAGTTAAGAGTTTCAAAATTGTCTGTAGGATAGTTACGTAATATTCAGAGTTTCTGTCTCTGAAACCAGCTGGAAACAGATACCAAAGAATGGGTTTTTTTGAGGGAATTGCTAGGCCATAATCTAAAATGCTGTCTGTCCAAAAGAATGAGCTCTCTGCTGGTAAAATTTGAATGAATTTAAAGGTTAGCACCTGTGTTCAGAGGTGTTTTGTTGAGAAAGGTGGTTTTCAGACAATGTATGAAGTTAACTGCGTATGACAAAGTTAAGACCAGATGTGTGGACCCAGGGAGAACTTAGCTTATTAGACTTTAAAAACATTTTTTTCCAAGTCGCTTGGCACTTTTGTAAGTCTGAATGGAAATTTTTAAAAAGTTACTTTTACTGATATTTGCTATTGATGTGGTATTTGTCATATTCATCTCTACTGCTACATTAAACAGTAACAAGGAAGTCCATGTATGCTCGTTGAGCATTTATGAAAATAATGTTTACAACCGTTTAAAAAACAGGCCTGTGTTTCTACAAACACGTGTGCTTAATGCTGCTTACGTGACATGTCCTATAGACTTCAAAAGGATTATCTGCATAAGTAGTAGTATGTGTACATGAGCACCCACAGAATGAGGGCTGAAGCATCTGTGATACATATATGTACATGCCCTAGTTGTCATGTGGTAATTTCACACCATTTGTTGTGATTGTTGTCTGTAAAGTATTTGGGAAATTTGATTAATTACTTTAAAATAAACTGTTATTGTAATCTTACTAGCTGTCTAGATTATTGCTTTTTGTTATCTGGCTATCCTAGACGGTCCATAAGTGGTCCGTTCACTTTTATGTAACAAAAAGTGCATTGAGGAGATCAGTCATGCTAGGTAAAAATGAATTCAATTTTTAGTGAGCACTTACTAACAAGGTATTATTTGACTGTATAATAAGTTATATAGAAATTAACAATTTAAACAACTGTTTATTGGTTGAGATTTTTTAAAAATTATTTTAATCACAGCCTGTTGTAAAATCCAGTACTGTTTAATTTTTTTTCCCCAGTGTGCTTTCAGACCGCAGCTGTCTAAGGCTGACAGCTGGACCACCCTCCATGGATCTTGATGCCAGCATTCAAAGAACTTTGGAAGATAGTTTAGCAACAGAAGCTTATGAGAGGAGAATAAGACGTCTAGAACAGGAAAAGCTTGAACTTAGTAGAAAACTGCAAGGTATGGTAATTAAAAAAAAAAAATTAAAATCACTCAGTCACTTAGATTAGCTGGCAGCTTTGTAAGGTATGGTTTACACTGTGGAAAAAAATAAATATACCTCCTGGAATGCTTTCTAGCAGAAAAGAATTTTCTTCATTATTTCCATTGACAAATTAAACTTCTGTTACTGTTTATACCTGAAGTATTCCGTGTATGCAACTTCTTATAACATGCTAACGTTGTTCACACCATGCCTTGGTTACTGTGGCATGAAGATTTCATTCTTAAAAACTCTGAGAACTTAGTAATTGTGAGATGGACAAACTGAAAAATTGGCACTTAGTAGTTGGAAATTACGAATTGCAGAATCCTTAGTTTGGAGGGTCTTTTGGCATGTCTTAATTTATCAGTAATATCTTTTTGACTTCCTCAGATGTCGGGCATGTAATTTGTCCCTCTCTCTTCCATCTTTTTCTAGAGTCCACCCAGACAGTCCAGGCTCTGCAATATTCAACAGTGGATGGCCCAATAACAGCAAGCAAAGATTTAGAAATTAAAAGTTTGAAAGAAGAAATTGAAAAGTTGAAGAAACAGGTAACAGGTATGTTACAAATATTAATGTAAAAACTGTAACAGGAAACGGTATTTTGACAAGATTTTGTCTTCTAATGTAATGCTAGTTTTGCTTTTCTTTCTAAAAGAGTCTTCCAGTCTATTTTTACTTCTCATTTTACCCTTCACTCTTCAATGTTAGCTCTGTATTTTCTGCAAATTCAACTTAATATTCAGTACTTCAGTAACTTCCTTTGCAAGGGCGAAGGAAGATTTCAATGACTTCTGCTACTATTGTTTGTGGTAAAGTTCCACTAGTTTTAAATTGTAGTGTTGCTCATTTATATGAATGTCAATCAGGCTCTACCTGAGAATCTGTGAAACCATGACCAATTTCCATAGCACTGCCTTCCCCCATTCTTCCTGCAGTGTGTACTGCAAAAGTGAATGGAATACTTGTTTGGTTATTTTTTGCAGTTTCAAAAGTCTGCAGTCCTTTCGGGAGTCATAGTTGCTGTAGCTTGTCTTAGTGTTCCTCGCTTTGTACGTCTCTGCACTCTGGTATGCAGGTACATAGGTAGTAAACTGGAAGGAAGGTGGTGTTTCTTGTTTGCGTGAGTAAACACAAGGGGTGAAGACTTTAACCTAGTAGTTTTAATAGTCTTAAAAATATTTGATGGAAGGATGATTTGTTATGACTTGAGCATCAATTGATATTTTTTATTATCTCATTTTCAGTTGAATTTTCCTTGGAAGGGCCAGATTTGTGAGATGTGATCACAATTTTGATTGTATTTTCTTTGAAACAGCAGAGGCTTACAGTGTGCAGTTTCTTTGTGCATTGTAACTGGTTGTGGACTAAAAACTAGTTCAAACTGGAAAGGTGGTTTTCTGAGAATTTTCTTGGAACCGTACTTTTTTAAAAGTGTGGGTTATCTGGGAGTTGGGCAGTGTGCACGAAACTACAGTGACACTGAGTTTTCCAGTACTCCAAGTGGAGTACTGAAGGGTGTTTTCCATGAGAGAGGGCACTATGGGCAATAAGTTCCATGAGCAGCACAACAGACCAAACAAAACTCTACCTCTGAAATGGGTCCTGCTCATAGCTGTGTGGCCCCTCCTCTCTCTGTGTGTGCCCCAGACTCTCCCTTGATTTTAATTCACTCAGTTAAACAAAGAAAGAACTATCCAGATACAGAGAATTTAATCAACTGACGATCTGATAAATTGGCATGAGGTGGGCTATAGGAGCATAGGAGGAAAGGGAGATGAGAGTTGGAAGAACTACCTCTCAGCTCTGCTGTCAATGAGCTATAATTTATTATAAAACTGAACATTTCTTTCCTTTCCATTTAATTTCTTTGCTTCTGAGAGTTCATGAAGATTTTATGATGACTAAAAATTTGGCTATCAAGTATTTCAGTACTTTAAGTTTGAAAAGTGTTATTGAAATCTGTGCAGATAAAGAGCTGAATTTCTTAATTAACGTCATACTGCCTTTCTTTAGAACTCCCAAACTAGTCAACAAGTAAAGACTACTTAGCCCAGTATCCTGTGTCTTTACAGAGGCTACTGTAGACATTTTGGGAAAGATTCCAGGAATCCAGTATATTAAAGTCCTTTTTTTTCCAGCCTTACTTTCCCAGATTCTGGCAATTCATGTTTTAAGACCTTCCGGAGGCAGAGCTTCTGTTGCACGGCCATGTTGAATATAGTGTTAGTGTTTAGCTAATATCTTTTTAGCCTACTTTAAAGGCTAGTTACTAATACTAATATTCAGTGTTCTTGGTTTGATGTTCTGAATTAAGTTATAGGGAATTTCTCTCGTAGTGATTCTTAGCATAGGATTTGTGCTATCCTGCTCCATAATGGTTTCTTCCAAATGGGCTCTTGAGAGTAGAGACATGTTCAAAGAGAAAGAAATGAAGTACAGCAAGATGGTTTGCATTTAGGAAAATTAACAAGATTGATAGAAACTGTTAGCTATCAGGTCTAGAACCATAGAAACAGGGAGGACAAATCTGATTCCTCTTGTCCGTCCAAAGAGGAAAATGTCCGCATTGTATGTGAGAGAAAAATCAGACACAAGTGGCAGTAGATGGATCTCTATTATCTGTCCATGTCTTACCTGTGGCAAGGGAAAAAAAAACAGTGAGAAAGGTTGGAAGAAACTACAGAAAAGATTTGTTCTAGTTTGTATTTGTGAAAAGACTTCATTCAGTTCCTGAAAGGGGCAGGAAAAGAAAGAATAACTTGAACTTAACAACCAGACATTTCAGTTGATCTGTTTAGATTCTGCTGCTACGTTATGGGGCAGAAGCATGCTATGTATGAACTGCAGACTATGCAGCACGTAGATTATATGCTGTTAAAATTGTGTAGTCTGAAAAAAGTCTGTTATAGATATACAATTGGACAGCTGTGCTGGCATGATGCAGCAATTTCGTATTGTACCATAAGCATTATTTTTGGACATGCGCGTGGCTTAACTAGCTCCGGGAGGATCACTCTGATTTGAGTGATGCCATGTTGCTGCTATGTCAGGACAAAGGTTTTTGTGAAGCTTCTTTCCAGCCAAATGTCCCTCCATTTGTTGCTGTAATGAGGAAAAAGACAACATGATCAGAAGCCTCTGTTCTGCAGCAATCCTCAGCTCTGATGTTGGCTCTTTGGGACCACTGAAAAGCAACATCGACAAGAACAGCTTTTTAATGGGACCAGCCCTTCATAGAAAAGCACCAGCATCAGCTTTAAATTACATTTTGTTCTTGACTATTGAGCTGCAACTTAGATTTTAGTTCATTGCTGAAGGTACTACTCTCTTCTTTTCGTAATGGGAAAAAAAGAAAGTTGTGGGAACATTCCCCAGCACAACTGATACCTCTTTCCAAATTTAAAAGAAGTCAATGTCTGGTGAAGGTGGTTAATATTTAGGTGGTTTTCCCTTAAGTATCCATTAAGAGTTCTCTGCTTCATGCCACTTATATATTTGTATATTTAGTCCTAGATACAGTATGTGCTTTTGTTTTTTGGATTGGAAGTGAATAATGTGATCAAATGAGGAAGATGTAGAGTTGTCTAATCCATCCGCAGTCACCGCATAACTTTACCAGGATATACCTGAACGCCTTGTCTGGTCCAGACAATACAGCCATTAGTTAGAAGACACTCATTTGTGCCTTGAGTTTTAACTAATACAAGCTAATTTGATGAAATGGGGAAAATAGTATGTTGTATTTTGCTTGATTTTCTGGGGTTTTTTTCGTGATATAGATTTTAAAACTAAATTAATGACAGAATACAGGCACAAACCAAATGGTGGTCATATCTGAATGCTTCCAAATTTAGGGGAGCTAGTTCCAAGCTTTCTGGATGACTTTTGAAATATCTGAGTTTCTGAATCTAGATCTGCTGAACTTTAAGAATGTTCAGTTCAGGGGCAGAGCTGAACTTCATGCTTTGGGCTCATCTTTTGGGCAATTAAATGCAATAACATCCTGCAGTGAGTGTTTGCATGTATTAGCTAAAATGTTAGCAACAGCTAAGGTGATTAGGTCGAAGATTACCGTTTACTACACATACATCACAACTAGCTTTTGATTGTACTCTTTAACCTGTTTTACTGCCTCTTCTGAAGCTGTAAGAGTAAACACCTGCTTAAAAAGGTAATAAAAAATGAACATGAAATTGTGTCAAATTCAGGAGTGTTACTGGGGAGACCTTAGAAAAATACGTTTTTCTTGTCTATCTAGTTTTCCAGGAAATGACAAGCTAGCATATGCTTTCAATTTTTGAGGTCAAAGTTATAATTTTTGTTCGCTAAGTTCCATAGGAGAAAACTTTGAGGAATCTTTAATATTGCCAAATATGTGAAGGGCAGTGATGGAAGAAGAAAACAGAGCTGTGGAACAAAGTAGTTCATGCACGGAAGAGAGATTTATCTTGGCTCAGCAGAGCCGTATGTAAACTTTCTTTTTGTTAGTGACTTCAGAGTAGACTACATAAGAGAGGCAGTTAATAATTTCTGGCTTTGAGCTACAGCTCTTATTTAAATGCATTCCTTTAAATTTTTAAACAAGAGCCAATGAATTAAAACAATAGTGAATATTTGTCTAGGTATAAGCTAATGGTATTCATTTGCTTAAAAAATTCTTGTGTTTCAGAAATTACAGCTCTTAGAAATGTATGTGGTTTTATATTTGATTTCTCCAAGAGCCAGTATCTTAGGGCTGCATTTATGAAAATGTAGTAAAAGGCTCCTATTAAGAGTTTAGATGGGTTCCTGTTCTGTGGATAAATACATAGAGTCTGAAGACCTGCCACAATTGAAATCAAAGGCAAAATGTCTAGTGATTTCACAGAACTTGGAATCAACCTGCCTTTGTATAGATCTTGCTTTAAATTCTTGTTTTTAAGTGAAGGACTACGAGAGGAAAAAAAACCCAGCACCCACTAGCTAGAAATTCTCAGTTGTCATATTTTATGGATTTCAACTTTTCATGTTGTAGCATTTGAGTGTTATTTATATGACATTATTTAGCTGTGGCATAGAAACATACTGTCATTGTGCAACTGATGGTTGGTAAGAAACTGACTGTAATAGTTTTCCTGTATTTATAGTAGTAATAAAGCAGATCACGTAAACACAAGTGATTTTCACACCAGAAATAAGTAAAAATGTCTGAAGTTAATTTTAGGTGGATAAGCAGGAGAACACTTGCCAGCTTTCGAGTGACCCGTTACTTTTACCGTTTCTTTTTGAGGGAATTTGGGGGGAAGAGAGAGACTGTTTATAATTACAGTGTAGTAAAAGATGCATTATATATTACATCACAGTGCATAGAAGTCAAATGTATAGGTCATGTTAGAGCATTCGTTACAGTATTATATATAGTGCATGATTATTAGAATGTGAAAAGCCAAGTTGTTGTTGTTTTCTATGTTGTTTTGCAGCAAGCTGTGACTTTTTATTCTGTTCTGTTAAAAGCACGTAATGGCAGTTGAATCAACCTGCTCCTTATTCTAAACCAGATAAGAATTGCATTATTTTGTGATTAAATGGAAACCAGAACAAATACTGAAGGGGCTTCAAGCAGCTAGACTGTGCTGGTCTAGAATAATGATTTTTTCCTTAACATATTTAGAAGTCTGCTGCTTTTCTAGATTCTGGACAGCTAGAACAGCAACTTGAGGAGGCCAGCACTGCAAGGCGGGAATTGGATGATGCTTCCAGACAAATAAAGGCTTTTGAGAAACAGGTCAGAACGCTGAAGCAAGAGAGGGAAGATCTTAATAAGGTAAAAGCATTTTGTCAGCAACTCTTCTAAACCCTAAAGACTATTTAATTTTTGTTCATTTTCAAGTATAAAATGAATGAGCAGGCAACAAATGTGTAGCATGACCTACTTTGCTTTCTGCCTCTTTTCTGGAGCCAAGGACGTTATTTAATGCATCGTATGTATGACTGCTAGGTGGTCCTAGGTGACTGCTTCCAGATAGTGAACAAATGCATGATCCAAATTGCATGGTGGCTGCAAAGAAGGTTTCATAGCTTCAGGTAAAGGTGGTAATGGTAGTGGCTAGAGGACAGAGTAGAGAAGAACTATTCCAGATGACTAATGTAATCTGAAGAATGGGTGAGACTGTAGCAGGAGAAAAATGATGGTACGGTATTAAGGCTGTGTCACAGAAGTTGGTTCTGGAAGAGAGACGTGAAAAACTGCCCAAATATGAAGATTGCAAAGTAATTTGAAATAACTACAGTTAAAGAACACTGGGGCTTATTTTTTCTTCTCTGTCTCCCCAATTACTTATTTTCTTGTTTATAACATACTGTCTTTCATGGCTCTTTTTTGTATTCATGGTTAAATCAACCTGAATCAGGTGTGAAATATTTTAGCCTGTTTCTCATCATTATTATATTGGCCCAGTATTTTAGAGTCCACAGTCAGTGTTGATGTGTCAGCTGTATTTAACACTGGGGTTTTTTTTAACCCTTAAGACTCTTAAAGGCTTGAAAGCTGTCAGTTTGTCCAAGAAAGACCATCTCTCTTCTAAAACAACTTGTAGTGATTAGGACCAGTTTTTAACAACCTTAGAAAAAGCTTTTAAATTTTCATACGTCAGCAGTGCCAAATATTAGTTCTTCCTGCTGCTCTTCTTTTCATGCTCAGACCCACTTTTTCTTGCTTCTTTGTTCTGCTCTGGTTTGGCAGAACATCATTAAACCATTTAAATTGTTGTGATCCCTCATTCATAGTGTAGCAGCACAGGTCTAGGACACAGCAAGCTTTGTGACGATGCTGTGCTGTAGAGTTATGACAGCACTAGCAGTGTTATTTCATGTGGGTTCTTTTAAAAGAACAATTATTGTATGTTGCTGTTAATCACTACAGTGTTTTGTTGCCTGAGATTTTTGGTAATATTTCATATTAAGGTACAGTGTGTGGAAATCATACTCACCGTTGCAAGTCTGTTTTCAAAAGCTTCTAAAGTAGAAGTTTTCACAGAGCAGAGTTTTCCATTCAATTAATGCAAACCCTTTTTTTAAATGATTTATCAGGTGAGATAAGTACTATTCTTTTGATTAATTTAAGTAGTCTTGAAATCTATGCTAATGACTTTTTTTAAATTAAGAAAGCAAGGTATTTTGTATTTTAATGCAAGTGCTTGAAAGCCTTTGTGTTTAACCTATAATAATGGAGTAAATTCCTGCTTGGTTTACATTTATACAGGTTTACTAACTTCGGTAGTGTAAAACCTGGCCTCTTTCCTTATTTATAGAGGCATACAGTCTGTATCGTAGAAGCATTCATGAAAAAAAAAATAATTAACATGTAGTTTCTGTTCACTCTGGAGAAGGTGGTAGATGTGCATCCAAAGACAGAATTGGCCTTGCAGCTTTCTAGGTTTATTACTTAATTCTTTTTTTAAACTGTAGGAACTGGCAGAGTCTAGTGACAAATTAAAATCCCAAGCCAAAGAGCTGAAAGATGCACACAGCCAGCGGAAATTGGCAATGCAGGAGTTCTCAGAGATGAACGAGCGGCTGACAGACTTGCACTCTCAAAAACAAAAGCTTGCCCGCCAGCTCCGAGATAAGGAGGAAGAAATGGAAGTGGTGATGCAAAAAGTAGAAAGTTTAAGGCAAGAGTTACGCAGAACAGAGAGACTTAAAAAAGAAGTAAGTGGTGAGAAGACTGTTTAGAATCTATGAAATAATAGTTTTATGTAAGGTTTTCTGACAAAGTAATTTTCTTATGTTGTCTGTAAATCTTTAACTCTTTGTTGTTTCAAACAGTAACAGTTTTGCTTTCTAAGAATTTGAAGTGTTCAGTTTAGTGCTGAAGATTTATCTCTTGTATTGAAAACCATCAATAGATTTTGAGAAAAAAAGAAAAAAAAAACAAAAAAAAGCTATACCTATTAAAAACGTATGTACTTTTGTAGCTGGAAGTCCAAGCTGAAGCCGCAACTGCTGAGGCATCCAAAGACAGGAAATTGCGAGAGAGGAGTGAACAGTACTCTAAACAGTTGGAAAGTGAAGTAGAAGGGCTAAAGGTTAGTCTATTTTGATATTAACACCTGCAAACTTAGTAGTCAAGTAGGACTTGGATCTGTTCAATTGCTTTCAGATGTAGGACAAAAGGATATTGTCAGTTTGTCACTTCAGTTGATGCTGAATATCAATGCAAGCATGCATCACATTATTGCCCAGAAAAATGAATGTTTGCCCAATGCACTTTTCAGGCCAGCCTGTTCACTGCTCACTGAAGTATTTCGTAGTACTCATTGATTTCTTACCAAAGTGCTTCCACTATTACTTTGCTTAACTTTACCTGTTAAAAGCTTTTTTTTTTTTAGTGTAAGATGGTTGAGTACTTGAAGGTAAACCTGCAGCCTATGCAGGTTTCCATGTAGGTGTTTTGTGTACCGTGTTGTTCCTCAGCGTGTCAGTCAGAAGAAAGATGGTTTCCTCCACAATAGATGTCATCTGATCTAACTGTAAAGGAAAAGTTTTAATGTATTCTGCCTCTCAGCCAGAAGTTGAGACGTTTTTGCACAAGAACAGCATTGAGCACGAAGACTTCATTTATATTGATGAGATTGCTGACACGTGTATGTGTTTTTAGGAGCAGAAATTTAAGTAAGCCAAGAATGTTAACTGTTATTTTATTCTATGATTTAGCATTTTACGGTGCTCTGAAGAAATTAGACTGTCTCAAAAACTGAATGAGAAAGTTTTTATTTTCCACATGAGGATTGCTATTTGTTTACCACAAAATCTTGTTCCTAATGTTTCATCCAGTAGGACAATTCTAAACTTTTTCTGGAAAATGTCAGATTAGGCCTATTCTGGTCTTAATTTACATGAATAATGGGGGGGGGGGTGAGGGGAGGGGCATTATTAGAATCCTGTGGGGCATTTGTCAATGTTAAGTCACTACACAGAAAATTTGGGGGTTTTTTGCAATCGTTCTTTTATTTTGCCTTCCATTTTTAAATGAAAATGATGAAATTCATTCAGTATGAAGTTTGCATTTATAAAGTTGCTACTGCTGTGAATTCAGATTGTTATCTGAAAATTAAGATGTATTTCTCCTTTCATGAATCTTCATCATCAGCAAAGAGTTTGTGTGACAGTTTGAGCCGAGAAAAATTTGTTGGAGATCTATTGAGAATAAATGATATGCTGATTTATAACCACAGGGCAAACTTATCAGAAGAGGAAAGGGGACTTGTAGCTTTCGTAGTAATATTTCACAGTACAGTAAGCACACTTTGGATCATGTGCGGTTGTTGTGATACTACATTGTCCATTCAGTAAAAGTTCTGCATGGCTCCTTAGTTAAGTTCAGAAGGCTATCATAGAGAAAAAGGTCAAGATTTAAAGAAAAAAGGAAATTTTCTCCAAATGAGAATAGAAAAGCTCACAGATGATGGCAGGTTAAATGTAAACAGAATGTTGAGGGCTAAATGAAGAGACTTTAGAGAGCACTTTGCAAAGGATGCTCCGAGTGATTGTGGGAAGTTTTTTAAATCGAAAGCAGAAAGACACTTTAGGAAACTCATGGGGCTGCTTGTTGGCAGGGATGAAAAAGGCAATCTCTGAATTGATAGGGCTGTGGCAAAAACACTCAACAAGTTTTGGTGTGTCAGGCTTTGGTGGTGAAGCAGCGGAGATTGCCACACAGAGTGCGCTCGTTGCAGCAGGTTGGAGAGATGAGCTGGATCAGTCTGAGGATGATGTGCAGGAAGCATTAGAGCTGGCAGGTGAGTCAGATGTGAAGTCATCCAGACTGGTGGACTCGCCGAGAGGGTTCTGAAGGAACTCAGGTGAGAAGTAAGAGAACTGCTGGCCAAGATGTGCACCCTCTTATTACAGACGGCCCACTGTGCCCCTGTATCTCTCATCCAGAAAATCCTGGGAACTGCAGAGGGGTAGGTGTCACTTCCTTAGGAATGGGGTAGAAGCTGTAGTAAAGAATAAGGTCAGCGAGTTCATGAATGAAGCAGAGCCTATTGGGAAGAAGGCAGTGTGCCTTCTGTCCAACCAAGTCCTGCAATGCTGACCTGCTGGGGTTCTGCAAAGTTGTCAGGAAGTTTGTAGACAAAGGAGATCCAGTGGATGTTGTGTATGTGGATTTTCAAGAAAATCAGGCTCACTATGAGTCAGCTGTGTGCCCTGGCAGCCAAGAGGGCAAACCGCATCCTCTGTGCCAGGAGATGCATTACGTTTCAGTTGCACCATTTGTCCACTTGAAACAGGCATGCATGAAAAAATCTATTTGAAATTTGTGCTTACATCAATTCAAAATGTATTCTCTGTTTACTATATTACTTTAGTTCTGTAAGCCACTGTACAATACCATCCAGCTTTCTCTTCTACTGCACCATCTGTCTTACAGTCTTAATAGTATCTCCTCATTGAGGAAAAAAAAATGGGAAGTACCACAAAAACATTTTATGTGCCTGATAGATGATGTTGCAAAGCCTAAACTTTTTATGTGCTTCGTTGCCATATACGTGTAGGCAACTTGGGATGTCAGGCAGTAGCAAACAAGTTCGGTAGTTAACTGCCTGTGCATGAAAGAAAATTCCTATGCCTCCTTTCCTTTTTTTTTTTTTAATCTTTCTTTCTCCAAACCATCTCCTATTAGGAGGGCATCTTCTTTCTCCAATTTACCGTTCTGCATCCTAAGGGCAGGATTTTACTCTTAGATCAAAACAGATGATCGTTTTGATGAGTTAAAGAAAACAGTGCAATAGCAGCACATATCTGGCTCATACGTTTAGGGGGTTTTGCAGTATTCTGCTGACACTAACAGCAAGGCCTAGCTTTCTCATAGAATTTGTCATGGTAGAAATTCAGCTCGTCTGAATGTTCTACAAGGACATGTGGCTCTTAAAGTCTATTAATGCATCAGCAAAAGAAAATTGCCCAAAGCTGTGTTTAATTAGGGGTGACTGAGACAATTTTAATATCTCATGGTAAGAATGGAGGTATAATTAACAGTTTGATCCTCCTAAAGGTGTGAGACAGTCACCGTAAGGAAGCAGGTTTTCCAGTTTACCTGCACTTTCTCAAAACACAGTGTTTTCATTAAGTAATTTCCTTTCCTTAGCCTACCTTTAATTACGTATTTTAAAAAGCAGAGAAAATTCTGAACTAAGTTATACGTACGTTTACATTTAAAAGTATTTCCTACTTGGATTTCAGTGCATGTCATGCCACTATCTCATTTTGAACCTGATCTTGCTCCTCCTCTATGTTATGGCAGGACATTGAGTTTAGTGAGTGCAGCATTTGATGCAAATGTGTATGTGTCCTGAAGCAGTGTGTAAAGACTATTGAAATGCCAGAAGACCTCACTAAGAGAGCTATGCAGCTGCGAAAAGTGAAGTAATTACTCTTATTGTTTAAAGCTTGTTTTTTCCTATAAATCCACTATGATATAAATGGTCAGTTTAAGTAAAATAGGCCAGGTTTCCCTACTGACTGATGCAATCCATATAGGGTGTCTGTAGCTAGATTTTAGCCTTCAGTTAAGCCTCTGCTTGTCTTAGTATAGCTTTTCCACAAATTAGTTGTGCTTTAAAACACATTGACTATATATCATAGTCCTTATTCTGCATTCCTGAAAGTCACTTGAACTTGTTGCTGACAACTGTGTGAGTGGGAGCATAAAAATCTTTTAATTCTATGGTCCCTTTCTGACTGCATGTAAAGGGACTCAGAATGTGGCCAGAGATGTTTAAAGTGATGATCAAATTTTCGATGGCTTGAAAACTATTACTGCATTTAAATCACAAAATTGTAAAAGAGTGCAGTTCAGATCTATGCTCTTAGCAAATTTTTTAAAAAATTGAGATAGATGTGTTTAACTCAAGTCTGTAATGGAATATTTTCTAAACATAGACTTACAAATACTGAGTTGTTTTTACGCACCATTTTCAGTGTTCTTGAGTATTAACTTGGGGCTGTTTGTTTTAGCAAAAACAGGTTGGTCGCTCACCTGGGGTAAGCAGTATAGAACACCAGCAAGAGATCACTAAATTAAAGGCGGACCTGGAAAAGAAAAGTGTATTCTATGAGGAGGAACTATCTAAACGTGAAATAATGCATGCTAATGAAGTAAAAAGTCTGAAGAAAGAATTGCGGGATGCAGAGAGCCAGCAGCTTGCCCTCAAGAAGGAGATTATGATTTTGAAAGACAAGTTAGAAAAAACCAGAAGAGAAAAGTGAGTATTGTATGGAATTTACCTTTAAGCTCAAAATACCTTTTGTAGTCTCCTAGTATGTTTCCAAACACACTATCACTTCCATAATTGTAGTGCGAACAGGTGCATTTTGGCTGACCATTAGCTGGGGTTGAAAACAGTCACCTTTAAAAATTAAACAGAACCAAAAAAATCCACATTCCCTGACTGAAACAGTTAATTTTGCACCAGAATTCTTGCACTGTCTGATCATTCCAAGGTATGTAACTTGAGTTGCAGACTTGCAGCTGGGGGTAAGTTGACCCCTGAAGTTTATGTTGCAGATTAAAATAGTTTTTTGACATTTTGTTTCTGTTGGTATTTTCATCTTGTGATGCAAAAATAATGTGTTGGAGATCAACCATTGCTTACATTTCTGCCAGCACAGGGGAACAGTCACTTAATGCAGACTAAGGCTAATCCATGCTGGGTTCCATCCAGTGTTAACATCAGTCATCAGACTACTGTAGGTATAAGCTGCTTTATCTCTTCTGACACGGTAATTTGTCAGAGACCTGCTTTTTTCTCTCCCACGTGGTGGAGCTTATAACTGGCCTTGAGACTTTTCCTTGAGGCTTTCATCAATAAAACCAAGTTTTTCTGTTGGATAGTGTGCTAATGGAAGTTGTCATAAATTGGATGTGCTCATCTTCATTCATAAAAAACTCAGAATGCTTCATAGATGCTAACATAGATGCTTTTTTTTTTGCTGCTGTAGCAAGATGAC